CAAGGCCAGGTTGGATGGGGCCCTGGGCAGCTGAGCTGCTGAGGGGCAGCCCTGCCCATGGCACGGGGTGGGACTGGGTGGACTTTGAGGTCCTGAGTATTTCAAGTTCTTGAGTGGTGAAACAGAAGGAAAGAAAGGGAGCAAAGATGAAACCAGCCCTGGAAGGAAGTACCTTGAGCTGTGAAGAGCTGAAGAAACGTTTATTTGATCTTCCTATTTCCTGCAGAATGAAGACAAATACTCTTTACAAATTTACCAGGAATGCAAGAGTGATTCACTGCACCAAACTGCCCTCATGCAATCGTGAAAACTAAATCTCTTTGAAAATGGAGAGAAGAAAAGAGGAAGCAAGAATACTAAACTGACACACAGAGCAAAGAGATCATCTCAAAAGACCAGGAAATTTGTGTGCAGCTATATTTATCTTCAATTAAACCTCATTTAAGGTTCTATCCATTTTGCTGTGTTGAGAGGAAGGAAAAAACCGCAGCTCTGTAACAGACTGAAGTACCTACTTATTTCCAGAAACATCCATGAGGTGAACATTACGTGATGCAATGTTCTCGGCATCAGCGCTGCCTGTATAACAGAAGGTGCACAGGGACTGTTCCAGCAAATTATTCATGGGCAATAAATAATGTATAACATGTCTCAAAGGCAAGGGAAGTGCACCTCTCTGCAATGTACACAAAATTTTGATTCCAGAAGGCACTCTTACTGTGGCTTTTGTTATATTTTTCTCAACGTTAGCTACGTGGGTAAGCCTGACCTTGCATAAGGTTTTCTCCACGTCATCTAACCATTCCCCCATATACCACATGAGATGAAAGAAAATACATTTTCTTCTCGATTCCAACTGCTTTAGGATTTATTATTAAGTTAATATATAACCAGGCTTATTTGTTAGCTCTGTATGTACATGTGTTTTCCTGGGGGTAATATTGTCTCCAGTACAAAACTTTTGTTGGGATTAGTGGCAGTACTAGTGTTAACAACGTTGGTTATAGAGCAGGCTCTGTAGTAGTAAGTACTGCATCAGCTTCATATAAAATATGCTCTACTTTGGGAGCTCATCAACAAGGCTATGATAAGTTGCAGCTGGCTGATGAGGTAACAAGCGAACAAGATATCATATCCTAATTAAAGGAGTTGGCTTGCTTTCCAGTTGGCTATTGTAGTAAAGGGAGTTATTTGGAAAGCTGCTCATTTTCCTACTCTGTGTTTAAATAGTGTTTGTTAATCATTGCTGATTTCTCAGTGCAGTTCTTCCCCCCCACACACCCCATGAAACATGGTAAGGTCTTTCTCTTTCCCTTTTAGCATGAGGTTGGCAGCCTGGGTGACTCAGGGTGAGTTTCATTCTTCTTTCATTCCAGGTGACATGTTCACCACATTCTGGACTGGCCTGCAGACAGCTCCACCTTTCTTATTTAGAAACATGCTAGACTAAACTAATGGGTACTTTTGCCTAAGATTCCCAAAAGCTATTTCACTTTTATTATCTCTACAGCAGTTGAGAAGTGAGGTGATATAGTTCAGATACTCTTTCAGAGGGACAAACAAACTTACTTTGAAGGCATAACTGTCCTGTAAGGAATTTTTTCCAGGAGAACTGCCTCTAATCCAATTTTGCATTTCTTTAAGGCTCTCGGTTATTAGGATTTATTTTGACTTTCTATTTATTTAGTACATCTAGGTAAAGAAGTGAGAGTTCTTTTGTACAAAATCTTCATATATTATAAATCTTGGCACAAGTATTTGAACAGTGTCTGACTACTCTCCAGAATTAAACTGGTAATCATTAACAGAGCAGGCTTATAATTATGAATTAATCCAAATCTCATAAATGCCAGTGATACACCTAGTAAAGACACAGCAACAATAATATGTAAGCAATAGAATGAAACAGAGTACATATTTTTCATTTGAATCATCCCATTTAAGCATTAGGTGGGTTGATTTTACAGGTAATTCCAGAGTTTTTCAGTGTAGATACACTGAAAAGGAAAATTTATTTAACAAAAAGACAAAGTGAGTCGATCTGATTTCACCATGAACTATTTGTTAATGTTGACTCATCAGACTGCAGTTGTAGGCATCCAAAGCATTTTTGAGTTTTCAGATTTGTCTTTTATGAGTATTCTAAAAACCTCTTCTCTTGCTGAAGGGCACACATGCAGTTAATGAGACTGTTGTTGTCTTACGGTATTGTTACCTACTCCGTGTTCCAGACTACTCTCAAATTGACCTGTTTTACTCTCCAACCGTAGGAAAGTGCAAAGTAATTGTCATGCCTGGTAATGTGAAATATCAAACTTAGTGGAATGTAAGAGTTTGAAAGAAAGGTACGGCTTTTATTAGAACAAGTAAGTACTCTAGGTAGCTTGCCTTGGTGGAACTGCTCTAGGAGAGAGTACTGCCTGGAAGGGCTAGATGGAAAAAGTACCTAATAGGTCATTATACCTAAAAGCTATCAATGGAAAGTTAGATGGTAACCAGTAAGCACATGCTTCTCCTACGTTGATAAGACTTACTCCTCTCCAAGACCACAAAATGTGTGACCCATCCTTGGTTTGTTCTAATAAATCAGCAGATGCAAAAATACCACTACAGGCTTCAGATATGTTTCTAGGACTACATTATGGCAATCTACCATGAACAGGGTCAAAGTAAGAATTTTGGTAAGGATCCAGTTTGGTCACTCATAGAATCACAGATATCAGTTGTCACTTAGTTGGCACCAAGTTCATTCCAGCTCTGCTGACTGGATGAAAAAAAGGCATAAAATGCAGCTCTTCAAACCACCGGCACACTGAACAGAAATAGTGAAAAGACTAAAGATGAGGATACTCCACACACAAATTTCAGACTAGACAGTCCTTGGTCTCATTTTATCTTTTCACTCTATATGCAGGAAAAAGGCCTTGGCACAGCAGAATAGAGAGGCTGTGATGTCTCCTCCTTGGAGACCTTCAGAAGCTACCAGTACATGGGCCTGGGTGTACACCGTGCTCTGGGTGGCCCTGCTGGAGCAGAGGGCAGGTCAGATAGACACAAGCCATGCTGCAATTCTGGGATTCTGTGAAATGAAACCTCCCACCTCATATTCTCCTAGTTTGATTTTTCTCTCCTGGACTAATTGCCATCATTTAAATCTTGCCATACCTTCAGGCTATAGCATCACACCTACTCATTAAAAAGAGCAATCTTATTAAAATCATCTTCTGCAGACGTAAAGACTGTGACTAAGTAACCTCTAATTTAGCACAATATTCCTATCTTTCAAATGACATGACAGCGCTAAAAGGAACTGCTGCTGTAAGCCCTTGATCAAACAAAAAATATTCTTATACTTCCATATTGGTTTTTTTGTCCATTCTGGTATATTCCATGAAGAGCTGTCATAACATTACCCAGGTAACCAATTCACCTGGAAGATTTAACATACTGCAAGAAAAACAAGCAGTGATCAGCTAAAAAATGTCAAACTGGGAAGCTGTTCCTCGTAATGGTGAACAGCTGCAGTAACTGCAGTGATTCACACGAGTCAGTCACTACTCATCTATGCTAGTAAAGATTTCACAATTATGCTCAGATCCCATGGAGACCTTATAGAAGATTTCCAACTCCTGATGCATGTGGTATGGCATGCTTTCAGAGAACAGATGCATGCGTTGCAGAGAGAATGGCTGGTCACGAACAGACAAACTGCCTTATTCAGTGTGACAGTATCCATGCTCCCGAGTACTCTTCAGCACTTGCCAGATGTTGTCAGTTCTCTCTTCAGAAGATGAAAGGGCTAAGAAGATACATAAATCATAGATGATAAGAGGATGCGACTACAACCCTTGGGCCTGACAGTTGATATTAGGCTGCTCCCATGCCTTTGCCATCCTCAGTACACTGCTCTCCACAGGGCTTAATGACACATCCTCCTGGTTTTCACACTCATAGAACAAATTCAGCTTGGCATGTAATTTACAGAGAAGTAACATACCAGTATGAGAATGAGCTTGTACCTCAGGAAAGTCAGGATTTAGAAATGAATATTTTTTCAGATGCCGTTGAGTTTCATAGCACTTTGAAGTACAGATCAATCTGCCATGTATCAGTGAGCATAGAAGAGTAGCAGGACATGGCCCCCCAGCATATGTTTTATCATTTGTTCAGACAGGTTAATTAAAAAATTCTTACTGAAATCTCTTTTGTGTGCTCTGGCTGTTGGTCATAGCCAAGAGCATTAACATGAAGTATGTACTTATCTAGAAATATGGAATTTCATTATAAAAATGAAATCTATTTGTCCTGCAAGATCTGAAGCAATATTGGAAACCCTGGATTTCATGTTCAGCCCTGAAGAAAATTGTGCTGGAGGGTGTGTTCTTCCTGACCGTTTCTTCCCTTTCTCCATCCCATTTAATATGTCCTTGAAATTCCTTAGAAAAAAATGACCCTAAAGCTAAAAGCCCATCATTTCATTTTGAGAATGAAATGCATCAACATAATGATACTATTGTAGCTCCACCAGCGGGTGCTTCTCATTGCATGAGTGCTAGGGAATCTTATTTGCTATTTGTGAACCAGTAAACCCACTAATAAAGCTATGATCTATGCAAATCCCTTTAGTATACAGCGTTCTCCTCTCCATTTCCTAATTCTTAAATATGTTTTACAGAGGAAATCATGTTGTGTATGAAAATGTTATCAGTATGTCACTCCCTTTACAGAAAGGGACAAACCGAAATTTCAAGAGAAATTGACCATGTTTTTATTTTAAAACAAACTTTGGATTTAATGTACCAAGTTACCTTTTTTTTTTTTTTTTCCCTTTTGTGCACTAGATATCTGAAGCCTGTTGGCCTCTGTATGGGAACTGCTGAATCACAGCCTGAACCTCTGATTGATCACCTGAGTGAGCAATGAGTCAGCCACGGGAGCACAGGTGAGGGCAATTCAGCTGTGCTGCCGAAGGGGTGGAACCTGGCTGCAGCTCTCCTAGACCCATTTAAGAGCTGACTGCCACTAGGGAAGGTTTCTTCTGGAAATCCCTCCTCTGGAGTTTTATGACAAGTCCAGGATATGGGTAAGCATTCTATTTGTTCTCTTTTGGTGTAATAGCTGCTTAGCCAAACTCTGGTGTATTTTGTAACTATAAGAGCTCTACATTCACCGGTTATACAGCCTCCCATCACTTCAACACAGTGTCTCCAAACAGTTCAGCTGTAGTCTCTAAATCTTAAACTTACCTTTCTAAGCTGCTCAGAGGTATGGTTCTGCTGATATGTCTGTCAGCTGAAGCAGAATTAAGTAGGTAGCCCAGCAGCTCTTAACTTATGTCCTCAAATGTTTGGCATAAACAGAATTTCTCAGCAAAACTAGACAGAGCTAGGAGAATTCACCTCATATAACACTAGATACAGTGTAAAAGGGTGCATCTCACAGAAGCAGAAGCTTTCAAGCTTATTTTTCCAAGCACAGAGCTGAGGTGGGGAGAGCAGTGTCTGATCCATCACCTCAAGGAATGTGGCTGAGCTTTGCCCTTCACTGGGAAGTCCTGGTGTAGCAGCGAGATATCTGGGGCCTGGCTGACTGAGGTGTGTCAAGTGTGTTGAATGTGTTCACGTGTTTCATCTTCAAGTGAGATTTGATAGAAATGTACATAATTCAAAACTAATCCGAGGACAAAAATAATTTATCTGGGGCTCAAGGTACACAATATGTCAAGGTACTGTTTCTGAGACAATAGATTAGCCTTACATCGACTCTAATTCCCCACGTACATCCATTATTTGTGTTAGAGAGATATTTTGCTTCAAGGAAAGAAGAACCAGCATGGCTCAAATATGGACTGATCCATCTTGCTTCCATGAAACTCGAAACAAAGACAAATAAGTCAGTGGAAGGGAATGAAGAGACACTTCAGGAATCCTAAGCCTACGCTTTGTGCACTGTGGAGAGTTGAGAGAAGCAGTGTGCTTATCTCTGTGATGACAAATGAAGATTAAATGAAGATATTCACCAGACAATTCCTCCAGTGTTCCCTGATCTGAAATGCACACTGAACATTGTGGAAGTTGGCTTAGCGCTTCTGGCTCAGTGGAAGGAAAGCCTGCAGCTCTGGCAGCATTAAGGAGCTAAGCAAAATCAAGTCTGGAACATCCTCACTTTCAGGCCCATGGTTCCAGATTGGCTGAAAACTTGCATGGAGCCTGTCCCCGTGCAGAGATCTGTGTTAGCCATGGAGAAAGAAGCACATCTGGCACTGGGTGCAATCTGGAGCTTCCCAGTAACTTCCGAGACTCTCAAACTTTTTGGTGCTCTTACTGCACTTAGAACTATGGCACTCTGCATGAGCAGAAAACTTGTTTTAATAAAAAATATGGATAAGTTTTATCTTCGTGGCCAGCTACTGACTCTAACAAGGTATGCTTTCATTTTTGTGAAACGCATTTTGGTTTTGGGAGAATGAGGCTTCAAGGTAGCTCCAGGTTTTGCCTCAGCTATTCCAGCTGCTGTTTGAAAACTCATCTGTGCACAAATAAGCCTTTGGGGTGACCAGCTGAGAATGAAATACATTAAATAACTGATAATTGAAGTTTAAAACTGATAGTTTACGTTTGCAAGAGTGGATGGGGCAATGGAAAGTCAGTTCAACAAATGGCACCAAATACAATCATTGCTTCTTATAGGTCTAGTTCATGGAAAACATAGAAGTTATCCCTTCTCCTCATCCACATCCTTGTTTTGCTCCATTATGAGGTGCACAGGTTTGGGCTTGCTCTTCCTCTCAATCTACCTTCCAGCTCCAGCCCATCCCTCTCTCCCAACAGTGCACAGGGGCTGGAAGTGCCACTACTGGCCTCTTTAAACAGTTGCCTTTTCATTAATCCAGTCTGTGTGTGTGTGTGACCGCTTGTGCATGAGTCTAGACAGCTGCAACTTGGCAATCTCGCTTTGACATTTTTTTGGAGTAAAGTTTGTTAACTATTGGACATTAGTATCTAATTCTTCCCCATTCAGGTTTAAGGAAACAGGAATTTGGCTTCAGTAACTAAGACTAACATGATGTTAATTTCTGAAAAAAAAAAAATCCCCTGCTTTTGCCTTGGTTTTGGGCCCCTCACTACAAGAAAGACATTGAGGCCCTGGAATGTGTCCAGAGAAGGGCAACAAAACTGGTGAGGGGTCTGGAGCACAAATCTTATGAGGAGTGGCTGAGGCAGCTGGGATTGTTCAGCCTGGAGAAGAGGAAGCTCAGGGGAGACCTCATTGCACTCTACAACTTCCTGAAGGAAGGTTGTGGTGTAAAAGGGTCTGGCCTCTTCTCCCAGGCAAATAGTAGGACCCGAGGAAATGGCCAGAAGTTATACCAGAGGAGGTTTAGGTTGGACATTAGGAGAAACTTCTTCTCTCAGAGGGTGGTCAGGCACTGGAATGGCTGCCCAGGGAGGTGGTGGAGTCGCCATCACTGGCAGTGTTCAAGAGGCGCCTGGATGAGGAGCTACGAGATGTGGTTTAGTAGCTTGTGGTACTAATAGGAATGGGAGGGTGGTTGGACTGGATGATCTTGCAGGTCGTTTCCAACCAGCTGTGATTCTGTGTGATTCTGTGTGATTCTGTGTGATTCTGTGTGATTCTGTGTGATTCTGTGTGATTCTGTGTGATTCTGTGTGATTCTGTGTGATTCTGTGTGATTCTGTGTGATTCTGTGTGATTCTGTGTGATTCTGTGTGATTCTGTGTGATTCTGTGTGATTCTGTGTGATTCTGTGTGATTCTGTGTGATTCTGTGTGATTCTGTGTATCCTTTCTCAATAGGTATTTTTCTTGTGCCATACACATATGCATGTCATTTTCATTAGTATTAAAAATCTGATTTGGCCAGAAGATTGTGTTTGGCCAAACAGGTCACATTATTAGATATGGTCGCTCTTCTTTCTCTACTCATATCTGCTGTCTCCATCTATGCTGTTCCTCTACCTGTGCCTTTAATTCCTCGGTGGTTTTCTAGGATAAATCTCACTGTTCCTTTCTGGACAATAGATTTTGATTACAATCATTCTGACGTGAGTTCCGATAGCAGTGCATTGGATGCAGAAATGTGGGTATAATGAAACTATCATTTTTCTGATGCACAAAAATAAGGTACCACAGACCTCAGAAATGGTGCACTGAGTCAAGCCATTTCTACGACAAAGAGCAAGCATTAATAACAAAGTGATTGATGCTGATCTGTGGATCTGTACTTTTCATTTTCCAAAGGAAAAACAGCCAGGAAAATATCACATTTTCCAGCAATCTACATTGAAGTCTCAGCGTACTATCTGAAATTTGGTAACTTTGATTTTCTGATCCATGAGCTCCAGCAATCCCTAGCATGTGCCCACAGCCTAAAAGAAAACAAGCATCAGAAAACACCACTCTTTGCATATGTTAGGTGGCCATGTCTCATCACACTCAAACCCAATTCATCATATTCCAGACACTATTTCATACCAACCATTTTGCTGTCTCTTTAATGCATCTGTCTGTTTATCTATTCTCAAGCACCATCTGCCTGTCCTGCTCTCTTGCACCGCACATGTTCACAGCTACTACACCTCCAAGGTGACAAATGAGCAGTCGAGCTAATTTCATTGGGATAAACAAGAAAGCAAGAGCCAGATGGAAAGCCATGGAGAGAGCCAATGGCATCGGGGGGGAGAAGAGTGAGTGCTGGGAGAAGAAATCTCCATAACAACGGCAAGTGCAAAGAGGGGGTTCTATTCTGCCTATACCACTAATTGCTATGAATATTTTATTCTTGCCCTGTGGTTTATCTATATCCAGACCAATGATTTACTGCCATATGGTATAGTTCAAGGCATTTTTTTTTTTCCCAGTGAAGTTTGTTTGCCATTATTTTCATTGTTATTTACATGAGGTTTAGGGGCTTTATTCTTTTCTTGGAGTGCGGACTATTTTTTTCAGACATTCATAGGGAAGCAGGGCTCGGGGGATTTCAGTGGTGTTATGAGTTTGGAAATTACCAGTTTTAATTACTCTTAAGACACAAGCTGATGATTGATAATGTTAATCCAGATCCTGCCTCCTGATAAGCTTCTGTGTCTATAACTCACTTTTTCTATATGGCACTTTCAGCACAGGCACAGCATAAATATTCTACAGATTCTAACAGGGTTATCTGCTAAATAGGTCTAAGTAGGTCTCAGCATGAAATGGCTTTCTAAAATATTTTAACTCTGTTCAGTTTCACTCAATGTATGTTTATGTAGCAGAAGATAGATATGCCTTACCTGTTGTGTAGGAAGCTAGCTTAGAGCCAGAAGCAAATGCTTTGCTAATAAGGCTAATAAGCAGCAACCTTTCTTGAAAGGTCATGGTGCAGTGTTTCACAGAGGTGCCTGTGCTAGGTAGGCATTCCAACATAGCAAAAGCCAGAACTCACTGCCAAGGAGAATCTAATTTACAATTCCTGTGGCAGACGAATACACAGCTAAACCAGTAGACTAGAAAGCCTCTCAAGTTCACTGCCATTTTCATCCAATAGCAGCTTACTAATTTTACAATACAAGCTCTGCAAATATTTTCTTTTACTAATAGGAATAGGCAAGGTACTTTCAAAATGTCTCTCCTTTCTGTACATTATCAGTGTCATTCAGTGGTAACTGGCTTGTATTTCTCAACATGCAATATTCAGAGATAAATAAGATGCGAACAATTATCTAACTGAAAAATCCTTCTCCCCTTGCTTTCCAAATTCCAATCTCACTGCTCTGTACATTCAGGGATTTCTTCAAAGAGCAATCTATCTGCATCAGAAACTCTTATTTCAGGCTTTTCAGGGTAATGCTTGTCAGAAAAAAATTGCTCCATTTCCCAGTGGAGTGTGAAGTTTCACTTTGAAGATACACTTTCAAACGATCTCCCCTACACCTATGAGAGTCATTCTTGATGTAATACAAGTGTTTATTGTACTCATTCCCTTTTAAAACCAGTTTTAGCCTCTGTAAAAATAAGGGGTGCTTTGTTCTCATCAAACCAGAGATATTCCACCACATGGCACAGAATCTCACTGTATTCTAGAAGGCTTTATGCTTTGTCTGCCTTCTCCTTCTAAACATGTGGCTCTCCATTAGCTTGCTTGACCTGTTAGCTTTTGTTATGTTAAACAATCATGGAAACGCTGAGACTCTGATCCATCCTGTATTCCTATAGTCCCTTCCAACTGTGCTCAATGCTATTTGCATGAGAAGCAACGTTAGGACACAGTTTGATTAAATTATGGTCATGGTATTATATGATGCAGTTGCACATTAAACTGGAGGCCTGTGCTTAATAAACAGAAGGGTCCTTCCTCTTCTGCAGCCTACATTCTGAAAAGAAAGGACACTCATGAGAAAAAAAGACTCTCAGAGAAATCCCCATCAATGAGGAAACTGCATCCTTAAGTTCTTAGTTAAGACCTTTCTAGGATGTGTGTTGCAATCCATGGACAACAATGCCATGGTAAATCTTAATGCATGCTCTCCTAATTATAAATAAAACAAATGTGGTTTGCCTGGAGATCCCACCCAAACCAAGGCCCTTAAATTAATGTTTTTGGGATTGAGAATATTGTATGTCTACAAATTACTTAATGAAATTCATATTTTTTGCAGATGGAATTGAAATGGGAGAAATTTAGCTGCTGTACATAAGTGTCTGCATGTGGCCTGGTATTATAAGAAGGAGACTAAAGTTCTGCTTTTTTAAGATATATCTACAATCTCTGTAGCCACGCTGTTTCGAGAGGAAGGACACCTGCCTATGAACAACTTAGTGCAAATCTTTCCCTCTTCCTTAGTGTCCATGAGGTGCCCCAGGCCCAGAAAATGGAATACCTCCCAGTAGGTCACAGCCACTCCTGAGTGAACATCAGAAGATGGCTTTGGTCAGCATCTGCCTGATGGGGCTTCCTGCAGCCTGCCAGAATGACAGCACGAGAGCCAGACATTTGCAGCACATGTCTCAAGGTGTTTCTGAGGATCAGGTTTGGCCCAGGCAGCCTTGGGTACATTTATAATCCCTTGACCTCTTCTTCCTTTTTTAAGCTCTGTTATTTCTACTGCAAACAATCTCCTCTGTCCACTGATGGATAGACCCACCACTGATGACCTTCTCTTCATTGCCAAAGTAGAAAAAGGCAGTGGACTCATTAAGCAGGAGAAATTTGCACACGCATTGCTTGTAGCAATCAGCACATACCCCCAGATAAAATTACCATAGTCCACCTTCTCCCTCTGAATGCACAAGGCCTTTGGAGGAGCAAGCAGCTCAAGGGTGATGGGTGAAGAAATTGCACAAGGTGCATGTGCTCTGGAGAGAACTAGCTCTTTCCAGAGCTGTCATGATTACCTGATATACAAAACCCCACAGAAAAAAAATCATTATGGAGCTTTAAAAATGTCTCTCCATCTATCTCTTTGTTAATCTACTCTCCTTAGTGCTGACTGCATGTCCTTGAGGATATTAGCCAAATTTAACCTGAAACAAGATACCCGTCTTTTGGCAAGCGCAAAGACTGAAATTTATGCTATGACAAGAACCTGTGAAAATTCTTGAAGATGATCTATTTCCAGTACAAAAATCAGGTTTTGTTTAACCTTGTCAGAAGGTTTATTTGACTAAGATTTACACGAATACACATTATTCCTCAGCTCTCAATTCAAAGTACAGTCTTAATAATATAAATCTTCAGCTTTTGCTGCATCTCCAGTCATAGATACTGGAAAATCTACTATTGTATGTACCAGGTTCTAAAAATGAATCATGCAAAACAAACAAACAAAAAAAACCAAAAAATTTAAAAAAAATAAAAAAGAAAAGAAAAATTCAGCATTGAAGCTGTGACTGGAAAGAGATGCCTGCTGCTGCACTCATACCACCTTGAGCCACATTCATTGGAACTCTGAGCAGATATTGTCATCCTCCAGCCTGCAAAGCTGGGGAAGAAGTTCTGAATTGGGATTGGCAAACTAAATAAGGTTACTTTTCTAGTGGTCTCAGCATCACAGCTTTAACTTCACTATTCCTGCTCTAAATCCTATAAGACTTTTGGATTTTCTCAGCTTTGATACCTCCATCTAGAAATACTGCCCTTTATCACAGCACCTGTAGTGCTAAACAGGTTAACACAAGCACAGCATTTTTAAGATATGCATTATGCTCAACTTTATTATTAAAGTGTTAGATGCTTGGTTTTCCTAAGAAAAGGTACCAGGTCTCCTAAATAAAATACTTTGATGTACTTTATGGAAATAAAAATTTAAAAATAGGACACTAAAGACTTGCTTTTGACTATCTTTTATCTCTGAATACTCTCAACAGTTAAGCACAGCTTCATTTAATTATGCATTACCCTAATTGCTGGGTACCTACCACGTCCATCTGTGTGCATTATAATGAATACATGCACCAAGGGCTTAATGAGTCAGACACCTGCTCATATGAAAAAAACAGCCTAGAATTATCACTGATATAGTCATCCATACATTTAAGCTGCCCTTAATTTTAAAGGAGTGTCAGCACATGTTTATGTAAAAACAAAACAAATGGAACTTATTAGACTATTCCAGTCAGATTACATCAACAAAAAAATCATGAAATGTCCTCAGGACCATCCTCTAGCAATCTAACTGGAATGCATGTACCCCCATTATTTAACTGTGAGAGCCTTCAAAACAGGATAATCCTGTTGGGAACGTTCCTGCTAAATGTGCCTGAAAATTTGGAAAGGAGATGCTAGTTGACCTGGATCACAGTGATGACAGGGACTACTTTAAATGTGTAACTCCATAAAAAAAAATCTGCCAAGGAGTTTTCTCTAGCACTGTTTAATCTACCAGTCTAATTTCCTAGTGAGCTCAGTTCAGCAACAGCATCTTTCTGAAGAGATGTGCAGAGCAAGGAAGCCATTTCAATTCAGCTCCTGTTACACAGATATACCATCTTCATGTTCTTGTACCATCAATACAATTTTCATGCAATTTTCTGTTCTCAGAGAAATTTGACTATTAAGTAGCCTACTCTAAGTAATTGCAGATGCTCGCGAGTCAAGCATCCCAAACAGCCTCCTACAGCCAACAGAGTTGTCATGCTTGTGTTTATGGTGACATTTCAGCAAAATACTGCAGGGGAATAATGAACAAAAGCATTGATACAACAGGATCATAAAAGCCTACTTCACAGTCAGTACGTAAACTGACATTCCCAACCTCATTATCATATATGCTACTTGAAGCATTTAGCATTTCTCTCAAGGCCTTTTTAAAGCTTGAAGGAACATAGCTTCCAATACAGGCCTTTTTCAAAGCCTAGAGCAGATTTTGCAGCAGTCACTTCATATCCTCTTTTCCCCTGTGTGATATTCCTGTTGCTCCAGTCCACCAGAACTACCAACTGGCATTCTTTAATTTCAGTTCAGCTCTATTACGACACAGCAAGTTCACTGAGCAATCTTCTTTTTCCATAATTACCTTCTTCCTTCATCTTTCCTTCCATGTTTGCACAGATAGGAGAGTCCTGCTGAACAGTTTCTTCTCACCACTTCAATATTTCACCCTCTTCCTTCAGTTAATACCAGCTTTAGATGCTGCATCTGTGGGTTCTGACATTTCAGCACCTCTTGTGCTACAATACCAAACTTAAGTCCCTTTTTCTCTTAATTCCTACTTGCTCCCATTCTGTCCTTCTTG